CAAATATAAAATAAGAAAGATTTCAATTTAAGAAAAACTTCAATTCAAGATGAAATTCAAACATTCAATTTGCATATTGATCACCAACACCTAAATTACTACTCTTTCATTGAATACTTAGCCTAAATTTACCTACATGTTAGAATAAACTCGAATCTTTTCTAAATTTGTTAACTTAAAACTTTACGTCTTAATTAAATTCTTATTATTAATTGATTTCGATATTGATGCAATCCTAGTCTAATCAATAATAACATTAATAATTAGAAAGATAGTTAAGGCTGAACAACAATTTTAGGACACCTAAATCATTTAATTCACCCTTCTAATTCTCTTAGGTAATTAAACCTAATTTGCTACTTGAACTAACTTTTCTTAACAATTACAAATTAAAAGAGTTTATCTAGCAATCAATCACAATAGATAATCAACTAATATGTCTCTTAGACAATTACTCATGCAATCACAATTAATTAAATTCAAATATCAATTAATTGAGTTCGGAGAAATAAAAGATACTCAAATCATAAAGGATAGTTTAAAGATCAAACTCTTGTCTCATAATCTTTTGCAAATTGAGCTAGACATTACTTGATGCATAAAACTCTAAATATAAAAGAAAACATGTAACGTAAAGTATAATGTGCAACCCTAAAGAATATTTATACATGTAAGGAGGTAAATATGACAAACAACCAAAAGTCCTATTCTAGCTAGTTTTCGAATTTGACAAGAACTTATTGTCCGAATAGGACTCGGATCATGTTGAAAATTTCAAATTGAATTAGGGTTAGAAGACAGAATAATATGGACTTGGGCTTTTATGAAGATTATAGGTTCGTATGTCTTCTTTTTGTATGTTTTTGAATCACCTCAATTCGATATGTATAACTCCGGATATGATTCAAACGCTATATAGTGTTTTGGATTGTCACAAAATTTGAATTGCTTCAAGATTCTTACTTAACTTTGCAGTTGACTTTGGCATACAAAAACTGAATGGATTTGTGCATGTAAACCCAATTTGAAAAGTCTAAAATGTCTACTTTAATTTCCAACAAGGCCTCTTCGACGTTTTGGAGTTCTAAAGATGTAAAATTTTCGTTTATTCCTTTAAAGTCAATGTGCCATGATAGAAATTTTTGCCAAATTAACACACTTTTTCTCCTTAAAAAAAGAAAAAACTAACTCACACACCTAAGACTTATACTAAGATTTGAACCCATGACCTCTTATTGCAAGAAACTACTATTACTTGGGCTACAAGCTCTTTGGTGACACTTTTTCTCCTTTAACTTCAATCTTCTCATAAATCATAAAATAAACATAATTCAACACATATAACCTAAAATCACATCTAAAAAATTAAATATAAGAGAATAAATATCATCAATAATGCTCACTATCATAAAGCTAAAAATATTTTTAAAATATATTTTATGGATTTAAATTTATCTCTATGGTAGTAAACAAATTTTAAGTAAAATAAAATATTTATAGTATTTTTTTTTTTTAAAAAAGGAAGAGAGTTTTAATTAAAATTTTAACACTTTTTAATGTTGGGTGTAATTTTCTAATACCTCAAAAAGGTCAAGTATAATTTACTTATTTTGATTTTAGAAATTTCTTAATTTTAAAAATTTAACTAAACTCTCGTCACATTTAAAAAAGAATACTATAAGTATTTTATTGGATTGATACCTTCACGTGTTCTTATGTAATAGACCAATTTTTCAATCTGTCATTATATTTTGAGCTTGTTTCTAATTTATCTTCTTGGTCAAAATTTTCGACCAATTTTCGGAAAATTAATCTTCATATTAGTAGATATAAATCAAGCTGTGTCAAATAACAAAGATAATTTTATCGCATCACATGCTTAATTTAGCTTAATTTAATTAAAAAATTAAACAAAAAGGATATATTAGAAACCACCTCAAAATATAAGGACATATTATAGGCATTTTTTAAGGAACAGATTAGAAAATTTGCCTATTATATAAGAACAAGTGAGAATATTAACCCTATTTTATTTTATACTCAAAATTTATTTACTATTATAGAGACATATTTTAAAAAAATATTATAAATATTTTATTTTATATTAAAAATTTACTTACTATCATAAAGACCAATTTAAGCCCATATAGAATATTTTGAATACAAAATATTTTTATCTTCACCTTTGTTTTAGTTTTTTTTTTATTTTAAAATTTTAGAGTGAACGAGTCGAATATATCTTCATATTTTTTTTCCTATTTTTTTTTATTTTTAAAATTTATTTATTAAAATTCGTCAAAAAAAAAATACAATTAAGGTGAAAAAACAAAGTAGAAGTATGAGATTAGAACACAAAAAAATAAATTAACACCATTAGTCCAAAAGTTACCGATTGAACAAAATTAAGATAGAAACCAAATGCAGAGGATTGAGCCTAAAAAGAAAAAAAATACAAAGACTCAATAAAGATTTTTTTTTAAAAAAAAAACAATAAAAGGACCTCTACAACCATTATCCTATTAGTTTGCCTTCCAATCGACAACAACAATAAATAAAGCACTAATTTGGTCTAGGTTTCATGACAATTTTCATTTTTTTTTCCCTGAAAAGAAGCCTTTGTATATACTATACTATTAATTTACATACAATGAATCTTACCGAGGTTGTTCTTGGACAAAAAAAAAAAAAAATTCAATGATTGCTGGTTTCTTTTACCTTTTATTTTTTTAATTATGTTTTTTTTTTAATTTTAATTTTTTTATTTTACATTTAGTTTTTATCTTAGTCGTGTCTTTTCAATTGACGATGTTAAATCGATCGTTAATACCACATAATTGCAACACGTGTCAACTTCTTCTTCTTCTTCTTTTTTAACCACTTTTGAGTGAATATTTCCAAAAAAAAATCTTAACGAAATTTATATTTTCACTTTTGAGTCAAATTAAGGGATTTGTAAAATAGAAGTATGTAAATTAGTATTATAAAATTATAAATATAATTTAAAAGTTTAAAATTTTAATTAAAACTCTCTTGATATTTTTTTTAAAAAAATACTCTAAATATTTCATTTTATACTCAAAATTTGCATATTATCATAGAAATAAATTTAAACCTTTGAAGAATATATTAGATAAAAAAAATATTTTTATCTCTTCTTTGTTTCAAGTTTTTTAGAAACAATGACCGAATATATCTTCACTATCTTTTAAAGAATGATATTTATAATTTTATAATACCTCAAAAAATCTAATGTGATATACTCATTTTCGTTTTACAAATTTCTTAATTTGACTCAAAAGTGTGAACATAAATTTTGTTAAGATTTTTAAGAGTATTCACTCAAAGTTGGTTAAAAGACTCGGATATATTTTCATTTTTTTTTCAAAATTTATTTATTTAAATTTGTAATAAATAAAAAAGAGTAAAGGGATGAAATTAATATTAAAAAATAACTTGTGTTGTAATTTTGTAGTGCTAACGATGTGATTTAATACCATTGGTCTAAAAAATTAACGAGAAGAATACAATTAAGACAAAATTACAAAAAGTAGACGTAGAGAAACAAACTTAGCATAAAAAAGGAAAAAGAAAAGAGAGAGAGAGAGAGAGAGTAGAAGAACACCTACAACCAACTCATCCTAAATATGGTAACTTGAATTGCTTGAAGAAATTCCTAAATCCTACACTCAGCTTATATCATAATTATCACTTTTTTGTATTAGAAATATTAATTTTGTATATATTCAATTTTGGTTTAATGATTGTGTATTTGTTATTATCATTCATTAAAACAAGTTTAGATTCCAATGGCTATAATTTTTTATATTATTACGTAACAAAAAGTGTCATCCTCCATTACATAGCTCATAATTTTTTTGAGCCTTTATATATATATATATATATATATTATGGTGCTAAAAGAAAAACTGTTTATTGAATGGGCTTGTCCTGGCTACTTTTCAGTAAAAAAAAAATAGAACTTTCATTAATTTTATGATTGTGGTAGGAAGATTACATTTTAAAAAGAATCTAATACGTCTATCATGTAGTTTTCAAATTTATTTTGTGTATTTATAAAATTACACAACACAATATGAATCATCAAGTCCAGTTTAGTATAGTGCACAAACTAAGAAGGCGGCTCGGCTACAGTAAGCTAAGAGGCCGTATGCTGTAAATAAATTCGAATAACGGATTGTCAACCGAAATCAGTTTGTGAGGACATGGTTGAACAATGCTGAGAAAGCTAAAGTTTATGAGGGACGGCAAAGGGCAGAAGCTCAAGACAAGTCGAATTATGTCGAGAACGGTCAAAAAGAGAAAAAAGTTGGGAGTGATTTTTCGTTGTCATTTAATTAAATAAAAAGCACTTATCTGTTCACCAAAATCCGTTGTAGTCTAGTTGGTTAGGATACTCGGCTCTCACCCGAGAGACCCGGGTTCAAGTCCCGGCAACGGAAGTTTTTGTTTTCGATTCCTAATTTTATGTGCTTGTATAACATTTTTTTTTGCCAATTAGAAGATAAATTAAAACTTAAATTGAAGATAGGCGGGAGGCAATAGAAATTCCTTTTCGCGGCCATATTTATCCAATACACAAATTAATAGTAATTCCTAGGGTTCCAAAATTTCAGAAAAAAGCAAAAGAAATGGAGAGAAACATGAACAGAGCAGGCATCGAAGAGAATCTCTTAGCAATCCTCGACACCGCCTCTCGATTCTAAACACACAACAGACGCCAACGATGACAGTAAGCCTTTTCTACACCGCCTCTTTCATCAGTAATTACCTATGCTGATTAAATTTTAATAAATCTTGTTTTGTTTAAATTTGCACTCTAGGGATTGAATTTCTGCAAGCAGTTCGCAGCAATTGTATTGTTAGTGAAACTCCTCCAACAAAGTAATTGCCTTTTTGTTTCACTCCAATTAGAAATATTTAGTATTTGTAACTGCCTTTTGATTATAATTATCATTTTGGAATTTGGTCCGTGAAGCAAAATGTATGAGGCTGTTTTTCAAATTTTGAGGGTTGGGAAATCTTTGGAATTGATTACGGAAAGTTTTCGGCTCCTAAATGAGTTAGATAAGGTACTTAATTTCTTCTCTTTGGATCTTACTGTTTTTTTTTTTTTTTTTTTCTTTTTTAACTCATACACCAAGGATTTGAAACCGTGACCTCTTGTTGCAAGATACCACTACCACTAGGCTACAAGCTCTTTGGTTCTTAATGTCAATTTTATTCTTAATTTAGACTTACATTTCTTAATACTAAGTTTGGATTTGCATTTCTAGACAATTAAAGAATTATTTTTTTTTCATGCGTTTAGCATTTTCCACGCATGCATTTGGTGGATAAAGAAGCATCAGAGTCATCTCAGCTAGGCGTGGTTGAGGAGGTATTAAGTTTTGCATTTATCCAAGTATGTATTTGATCAATGGTTTTACGTGTTATATGTTGATGATGATAGATAGTTCATTCTTTTTCTTTTTCTTTTTCTTTTTTCTGATTATTAGGCTTGGTCGCCGCTTCGTTTTAATTTGAATATTGCTTCTAGCGTGAGGGGAGCTAGTGGCAGAAGCATTAGCGGACCACTTGACTCATTGGTGAGTTGGATATGCTTAAAATTGTGGTGGTATAGTCGTATTTTTCTTGAGGAAATGCTTACTCTTGTGATATAAAGATTGCGCTACTGGATAGTTTTCCTGGTTTTGAATGATTGCTTTGAAGTTATTTGTTAGTGAAAGTTGATGTTTGTTGCTTGTGTCTGCAATTCTATTCAATTTGATTGGCTATGCTATTCTCAGGGTTTCTATCAGTTAATACAAGAGCTTGCTGAAGTGGCTAATGAGGGAAACCTTCAAGCGTTAGAAATAAAGGTTAGTTTGCTTATGCTTTGTGCTTTTTAAGTAAATAGAACATTAGACAAGACGTGCAACGTCTTGTAGATCATAATAGCAAATTTATTTAAAACTTTGTCAATTTAAATCATATGAAGCTTGGGATACTCACTTCCCTGTCAGTCACATGTTGAGCATTGTTCTTGCTTTTCTTTCAGTCACTGAGGAACATGTTGCTGTTTCAATATCTTGTCAATGCTCTTGAAGGAGATTTTATACTGCATAACAGAGTGTATGAAGGTATTATTTCATGCCTTGTTCATATGCTTTTCAGTACCTGGGAGATTTAAACAGCTTATGATTGTATCGCAGAAACCATGAACTGGACCCATCTAAGGGAATCTTTGCTCAACATGCTTCTGGTATGTCCTCATCTTCTGAGTTGTAAATTTTAATGGATATTGTACCTTATTGAGTGTGATGATGCAATCCTTAATTGATGTCATATCAGCCATCTAAAATTTGTAATTGTCATTCCTTCCATTTATATTAGAAATTCTTTTTCTCACTTGGAGTCATTGTGTGGCCATTAAATGTTTGAAGATGTGAAAATCTTTTATGATATTTATTTTGCAGAGTACAAGAAGAATAAACTACAAAGGCTTGATGAAAGATTGCTTGTCCATTATGTGTGGATTATTTGAAGTTTCTGCTAGAATAAGTGAGGATCTAGAATCTCCTGATAATTCTGCAGCAAAACTATCTCATAATGGGAATACTGCTGCAGCTTTTGCTTTACTTGAATTCGGAAATAATGCTTGCATTGCCTTGCAAAAACTTCTGAAAATAGTTAGTCCCTAAAGACTCATCCAGTTAAGGATATTTTAAAATCTTCTCTATAAACTCTGATGCTGTTGACTTTTCCAGATTATGGAGCTTGACATGTCTAGAAAGAAAGCAGACATGCAAGGTTCTACAACCAGAGCTGATGCTGTGAGGTATTTCCTAGTGCTAATTTTTCTTTGGGATTTCTTATTGAGCACCGTGAACACACTGCTGTGATTTGATTCAGGACACCTCTGGTAGAGATAATTTTGGATGAGCTAACTTATAACACAGATATGCTTTCTCCTTTTCTTAAGGTATCCATTTTAAGTTGTCAATTCCTCCCTTCTGTGCATGCTATGCATCCATGAAGATGTAGAATCTCTGCAAAATACTGATGGTGCATGTACAAGCAGTAGTCTTGTTCGTGGCTTGTTGGTTTTGGAATCAGAGATTGCTTTTGGCCATAAGCTTTGAAAAAAATATCGTCTCACGTTTTTTAATAATTTTTATGCTGTTTTTATTAGTTGGTTTTAGCAAAATTTCATTCTTGAATGGTCCTAAAGTACTAAATCATGGATTTTTTTTTTCCTGATATTTCATGCTATTTGTTGCATGATTAGATTTGCCTTCACAACTGTAAACAGTTTCCCACTTAGATTGCTGTAATCTTTTTTTGGCTGTTATTTGAATATATGTGTTGAAGTTGCTGAATCAAGAAAGCGAAGATATTCTTCTTCTAATGATCAGAATGATTTGCAGATATTTAATGAGCCTAAATGGAAGCTTGAAATCATCTTGCTGTATTTTTCAAAATACACCACTAAAGTAAGTGAACTGTTAAAATTGTTATATAAAATAATGTACATATTCCCCATAGCCTTTTTTTTTTTTTTTGTAAATATAGGTGATTAAAAGCATCTGCAACTTTGATTGCTTCTTTACTGGGATATACTCTATTCTGTAGTCTTCCACTCGCACTCGGAGATCAAGTGGTCCTACTGAGGATGCAACGACTTTCATTGGTGTTTTAAATTGCTTTTGCAATGTCACCAGCACAAGAAGCATTACCAAAAAGATAAGTCCAGATGTAGTTCAGGTGCTTTTAGCACATGCTTTTCAGGTGATTATTCTTGCTTTCAACTAATTATACACAAATCAACAATGCATTTACCTAAATTTGGAGTGGTGCTGGTACTTTTCTGCACAAAGTTGTTCTATGTATATATAGACTTCTTTCCCGTTGCATTCATGCCCTGAAATTTTGGATTATGGCCCTGGTGATTGCTTATATACCTCATGCTATTTCTATGAGCAGAAGTTCACTTACGATATATAGTTCTTGGATTTAGTTTGTGTTTCTTAAATTCTCACAAAGTTTGCCTTCTTTTGGGGGTATCTCCTACTGTCTTACACTGGCATTCCTAAACAGCCAATAACCATGATGTGGTTGGGGTTCATTATGGAATTTAGGAATTTAGAAGCAGTAGGGTGTTGCTGCCAGTTTTACCAGGCAATTTAACATATCCCTACTCTTGTCAATTTTCAAATTAATAGACAGAAAGATGTGAAAAAGATTAAGAAAATTTGTAGGAATGCACAAGGGATATGTTCATCTGTGATTGTTCATGTTGTGGATGAGTTAATTCCTAAATCTCAATGGTAGGGGTATTATCATTTAAGAAATTTGGAATTGATTTCTTAGAATTCTATCTTCTTTGGAATTGATTTCGTAGAGTTTGATTGCCTTTTGCGCATTTTTTTCTTCCAGTTATAAGGTTTAGTGACTATTCTGCTGTAAAGAGGTCCAGTGTAGAGTTCGTCTGGGGGGTGTTTGTCCGGTATTATTCTTGTTTTGATTTCCCGGATGTTGGACTCTTTTCAGGCACATTTGTCATCATCATCTCAACAAGATGCTGATGGCACCTCTGCTTCCAAGGATGAAGAAAGGAGCAGCTCTGTTGTGGAAATATGTGAGAAAATAATATCTGCATTTAGTAATTTGAGAAGAACAAATGCGTAAGAATCTATATTTATTTCTTATTGTCGCAATTTACGTTATATGATAATAATTACAGGAGTAAACAAACTCTAGGCATAAGAAATATCAAACTATAGGCTTTATGTGCAAATAATTGCACACAGATTCGTTTGCATGCTGCAATGCTGCTTCGTTGATGCTGAAATAGATTGATAATGTTAGCATCATTCAACCGAAACCTGTATCCTACATCATATAATCTCTGTCATGATTTTTATTTCAATGGCAAGGTGCATCATCATTATAATAATCAACATAGACACGCTTTCATGAAATAACAAGATCTTGGCAAAATTTGATCATGGTACAGGAAGGTGGAAATTTTGCCATTTGGAAAGGAGGCGCTGTTTACAGCGGCAGCAATCCTCTCAACAAAGACAGGAGCTCATGTATAAAGGATGCAGGTAATCTGAACAGACTGTTACCAAGCAGGCCAGCTTCTCTTAAGTGCTTGTAAAGAATATATCTCCGTACGGAATTCATTACCTTTTTAGTTAATTTGATCAATTTACTTTAATATTATATAATTTTCTTCTTGAATTCCTTCATTTTGTTCTAACTTCACAGCATTTCTTAAGAAAGCAATGAGTGTTAGGAAAGGAGGGTGCTGTTGCCGCAATAAAACAAACCGTAGTCATGGATTATGTGATTCATTGCACCTACAAAGTAGGATAGTGGTTCACCTTGGCACAGAATTATACACCTAAATAATGGGGTGGCCATCAGACCTGTTCGTAGAATTAGAAATGAGTGGCCATCAGACCTGTTCGTAGAATTAGAAACGAGTGGCTTATAACAAGCAGTTTCCCTTGCAGAATAATTGAGTTGTCCTGTTGAGCAAACATCCGTTCGATAATGTGATTAACCAAGGTAACCTTGTCCAATTGCACGATCTACACTAGTGGAGACAGATAAGGGGCTCAGAGAGGGCTAGCCCCTTAGCTAATTGTTCAGCTCGGCAGAGTTGCCATGAAAGCCTCAATCACCTTCCAACTTGTTAAATAGAAAGACCCTCAACTTAATCATAAATTGTGTTACACCCACTGGTACACACTACTGTTGTGAACGTCTGGCCCTTGAGGAGACATCTTGAGGAGACATTAGATCAGCTGCTGAATTTCAATTCCCATTTGTATCCCTGAAATGACCACAGATTTTAGTTATTGACATTAATCATGACAACAACCAACTTTCACCAAACCAGTGAGACCATGTCAGCTGGTGGTACTCACTTAGATGATTGTGAAGAGTCAAGTTGCATCGTGACTGGTCCATCATTCTCTAAATTAACCTACAAACCATTCAAAGCATCAAAGTCAGAGAATGGACCTCAAGGAAAAAGGTACTACACAAAAAAAAAATAATAATAAAATAATAAAATAAAATAAAAATAAAAATAAAAATAAAAATAAAAATTGGCAAGGCAGCCTTACCTTCATCATTGCTCCAAATACACCATCTAAACAAAAACAAATGGAAAAGTCAGGAAGATAATAGATCACACCAATGAATTCTGAAGCAATTTCAGCATCAAGAACAAAAAAAGAATGAAGTAATCATAAAGTTACATCAAACATTCATGTTTCCAATTGAAGGATAAATGGCAAAGATGTGCCTAACTACAAATACATGGTTCTAGCAAAATACATTTATTGTTCATGCACTAAATTTTTAACTGCATGTATTTCATATTTACGAGAGAACTTTTGCTCCCTCCTGTTTGCAGCAGGCACTAATCTGAAATAAATGTGCTGCACAGCTTAACAAAAATGCATTGTAATGTCATTCAATCACCCCTCCCTTCCCCCTCACTCCCACTCTGCTTCCTGTGTTTGAATTAAGTTTGAAAAGCTCAGAAAGATCATGCAACACTCATCCCTGAACCACTGTGTTTGTGAAATGATTCAAATGCATTCAAAACATATCCAAAATTTTCCAGTATAATCAGCTACCTGACTTCATACATAGTTTCATCCAAGAGACGATGAAAAGTATATGCCATAGAAAAATCAAGAATGCTTCAAATTGTACCTTGGCATGGAGATAGCCAAATAGGATATTATAAAAACAATACTCTGTAACACCAAGCCAAAGCAAGAGAGAGGTAACAAATTCAGTTAAAAAAAGACCTCTCTCAGCACTTTTTGTTTCTTTACAGCAAAATAAATAAATAAATAAATAATCTAGTGCATGTTTTAATGAAAGGAGAACATGAAGAAGATTGCATATAATTATATAATACCATAACCAAACAAAACAGAACAAAACCGAGAGTACCTTTTATTGCATCAGGTCTGTAAGCTTTCCTAAATTTATCAACCAGCGATTCATAGAAAGGTTTTGCTTTCTGGGGCGGCATTGCTACATGAAAATCTGGCTTGTTTCCCTTCAATACTCCATACAATGTAAACTGGCTCACTGTCAACCAGATAGAATTATAACTATAATTCGAACAAAAAGGTAAAAAAAAAAAAAATCCCAATTGCTTTACAACGCTAATAGGAAAATCATCCCATTAATTTTTTCCCATCTCCTTGTTCAATAAGATGGCAATGTGGAAAATGAATACCTAATAGAACTCCATAATTTCTCTGCATAACCTGCACATTAGAAAACCCCTCTACTTAATTAATTAACCACATAAACAAACTACATTTAAAAAAAAAAAAAAAAAACACTCGTCTACACAATATAGGGAGAAAGAGGTGAATTACACTCTGGTCCCATCCTCTGCCGGTACTCTCATTTGTAAACAGCCTCATATTCAACACCTTACGACATCTGCACATTTATTTATTTGTTTAACTCAAAAAATTGAAAGTCAATCACACCATTATCGCTAACATAAACACAGGACAAAAAGAGAGATTGTTTTAAATTACATGTAATCAGCATCAGAGTCGGTATCAGACTCGTGAAGCCCAACAAGAACAAGAAGGCCCGGACCAATTTCCGATACCATGCGGCCATCGACCTGTAATCAGTACAAGTGTTAAAATTGCTGCAGAGATGTGTAGGATGAAAGATAAGGGAGAGCGAAGAAGTACCTCGACACTGGCAGAGGTGACTCGCTGGACTACGGCTCTCATGGCTCTGATTTGGACAGTTCTGTTGATGGTAGTGGCGAAGGTGGACTTGGCTGTTTTGTTTGGGGACTTGACCAAGGATGGAAGAGCAGTGAGACAGTAGTGGAGGTGGAGGCAATGCATTTGTTTTATTATTATTTTTCTTTTTCTTCCAAATTTTCAATTCCAATACGGGCCGGATTTGACGTCGTTCAAATTAAGAGTAACGTAATTATATTAGGTAAATCTATACCATTCATCTTGAAATCAACGGTTTAGATTTCCTTCTAGAAAAAAATAATTACTAATTTTGAAAAAATTCTAACCACTCACTAAAGTGGTGAAATGAAATCTCAACCATTGATTTCATAATTAACAGTGTGAATTTATTAGATACGATAGATCATGGTACGCCTAACTCGAAGGGAGTTCAATCCGTCAGGCTCTAACCTGTAAAATATCAACTTGTCTCGTAGCCTTAGCCTCTTCAACCTCGTAAGGTTAATTTTATTATTATTATTACTACTACTACTGCTAAAAGCCAAAAGGCTGATAAGTTATTGAGTAAAATATAATTCAGTCCCTCTAGTTTAGAGAAATGAATTATTTAATTCCTCTTGTTTTAAAAACTAACTTTTTAGTCCTTTACTCTTGAATTCGATCTGCTAATAACTTCATCATTCTGTCTGTTGACTGTTAGTAAAAGTGACGAGATCTCCTTATGTGAATATGCTTTATTTTCAAATAAGTCTTCTAGTAATTTATAAAACTAATGATAAATTCTAAAATTGTGCTTTTCTTCCTCTTTTATTTTCTTGCTTTTCTTTCTTAATTTTATTTCATTTTGGAGAGTAATCGCCACGTGTGGCAGTAGCTAATTATGCTTTGTTTGGCATTTCTATTCTATGGTGGAAAATGCAAAGCAAAACAAAGCTAAGTTGGAAAAAAGAGGAAAAGCAAAGCAAACCAATGAGCACATCTTTCTTTTCTCTACGACTCTCGTCTCTCTATTCTACTTCTCTCGTATTTTTCTATTTTATTGTGGGATAGAGTGCAAGTGAAAAATGGGAGGGGGAGTAGAGTGCACGGTGGCACATGCTAGCACCAAGGGCGTAATTGTGAGCTCTTGTTCATTTCATGAATTCCTCTATTTGCTTCGTTCTCACGACAATTCTATTTTGAAAAGGAAAAAAAAAAAAAAAAAGGAAGAACGAATCGAAACTTTTCTTTCATTTAATTCATCCTCTGTTGTAGAATCTATAGCAAGTCTGGTGGATCTCAAAGGAACCCTAGCATTCCTTCGATCACCCTTCTCAATAGTGATAGATCGGTTTGATTTCAAATCAAAGAAGAAGAGGAGAGGGATTTACCGTGCAAATATGCTTTGGATTCTATGATTTTTAGGCTTCTTCTCTGTCATAGTTGTCATGATTATACTATTTCCTTCTCTCGAATCCTTCCCTCCAGCTAAAGCCATTCGCTCCTCCAATCTCGACGACAACCTTCGTTTCTCCCTTCTTCTCTCTCCTCCAAATTCCCTCCCCTAACTATCTATCCTTCTAAAAGTCGACTATATTCCATAATGATGATGAATGTGGCTTTATCTGACCACCAAATCAGAACAAAACAAGTGTCTGTGATCCTTCATTAGTCCACGTAGCCATTACTCTTGAAGTGGAGTATTTTCGTGGCTTAATTGCGACTACTCACTCAATTTTGCAGCGCATATTGTGTCTAGAGAATATAATCTTCCATTTCTTAGTGATTACCCTTGAAAATGAGTGAGTTTGTTTTATTTTCGATATGAGTTTATATGTTAAAGAGGTATTTTAGGTATTAGATATAAATTTGACCGGATCTATTAATAATTTCAACATAAGAGATTAAAGGATTAGTTTTTGACTAAATAATTTGTTTCTCTAAACGAGAGAAACTAAATTATTTTTTACTCATAATTTATTTCACAATTTCGATATGAAACATTGCACCCACATTACATTACTTTTTTATTTGAAAATAACCTCGCAAGATTTTGAAGACACTAAATTATTAAAAATGATAATAATAAATAAAGAAGTTTATTAGGTAATAAAATATTTTGATCGTTTATTTTTGAGAAATTCAATCTAGTTTCTCCATTATTATACTTTTATTATTATCCTCGATATTATTGTTGATTTCAATTAAATTTCCAAAGAACATTTCTCCTAACTCGATTCCCAAAGTTTCTTAAATTTCTAACCATACTTCTCTACCTAAATCATCACATTTCTTCTTCTTCTTTTTTAAAGAAAGTCAAAATTCATACAAATAGCTTCATTTTATAGCATAGAACATGCATTTTGTGGTGAAATACATTAATGAATGTGATAGGAAAGAGTATATTTGAAATATTAAATATTTTGGTGATTCAATGAAAGAATTATTTTTAGAGCAAGTATTTTGGAGAATTTATTAATTGTTTTTTAATATATCATGATGATATGAGAGATATATTTTTAATATCTTCTAACATAAATATTTATTCTTAACTGATGCAAAAGTTAATCCGATGATACTTTTTAATCTTTGTTATAAAAAAAATAAAAAATAAAAGAAGAAGGAGAATAAGACATAAATCATAGTTTGGGGGTTAAATTGAGAATTTTTTTTTATTTTTTATTTTTTTTTATGTCCTAAACCTTTGCATTCAACCTACCGTAACGGTTAAGCATAATTCTAACCTTATTTGATCACGAATTAGCTAAGGCAGTCCCTCAAGGAGACACATTTTTATTTAACAAAAGGTCTCCTCGGTTTGAAAGGAGATTAGCTCTTGAATGGAGTCATTACTAGACCATTCATCAATCATCTACTGTCTTCCGATGAATGAATGATTTTTTTTTAAGAAAAAATTTCATTCTCATTTCATATCTACTTGCATATTGATATTTTTTATATATAATTTTTAAATAAAAATACCTCTTAAAATACTAAAAAAATAATTTTCAATACATAAAAATAAATTAAGTTTCATAAACTTACCAAAACTTGAAAATTTCAGAAAATAGTAAAAACTAAAAAGAAAACTAGAAAATTTCAAAAACCCAGAAAGTTAAAAATGTGAAACATTTCAAGAAAGTTGAAATAAACCATAAAAGATTATTGGAAGTCAGAAAAAACATGTCTTGCAAATTTATTTCATTTTCATATATATATTTCTATTTACAAGGTTTTATCTCACAAGTTTTTCATATTTATTATTTTACAAGTTGTTATTGCTTTTTTAGATTTTTCATTTTTTAATTTTTTTGGGTCTTTCTTGGATTTTTTTTTAAATTCAATTCTTTTTTATGTTTTAGGGCATTTCAAAATTAATTTTTCTTTTAGTAGTTCGGTATTTTTCATCCAAAACGTGACAAAAAGAATACGTGGGAAAAAAAATTATGAAAATATAAGAGTGAAAAATTTCTTAAAAAGACACGCGGAAAAATGTGCTCAATATATCAGAGTTGATCGATCACTTAATCCAATTTTCAAAGCAAACACATTGCAAAGGACAGCCCATCTCTTTCAAAAGCAATATGTAACTGATGTATTTTGGTATTCTATTGAAAATAGAAGTTGGAAGATAAATTTTCATATATATATATATAGAAGAAATAGCCAATTCTGTCTTTCTATAATAGAATAAGTGTTTAATCTGTGTTTATATCATAAAATGAGTTAATTATATCCATATACTTTAAGTGAATTTTCAATCTATATTTTTGATGATTTTTTTTTTCTGACAAAACTATATATATAAAAAAACCCTTGTGATTCACATATGAAAATTTTTATATTGAAAATACCTAACAGATGAATGGATATATACAAATCACATAGACGACGTATATTTGAGTCTTTAGTGTGATTTTTGAGTGAAAAATGCTCAGTCTTTTGATGAATAAAAAGGATGGTTGAGGTGAAAATGAAAAATGGAAGAGAAGCGAACAAAAAGCGGCAGGCTTAATAGTGGTCGGTTGATAGGACTTGAATTTTGGCAAGAAAAAAGTGAGTTTTAAGTTAGTCCTATCGGCCGACCACCATTAAACTTGCTACTTTCCTTAACTTTTCTTCACATTTTTTCCATTTTTCAATCATTTTTGGTAGATACTTTTAAAATAAAATTAGTAATATTTTTTTAAATAATTTTTTACCAAAAAAAAAAAAAGGTATATTTGAAGAACGGATTGAAAACTTAATATATAAAGTAATAATTAATTCCTTTTAAACTATAAAGACGGATTTGACATTTATCATATAATATAATAACATACTGCACTATTTTTCAAATAATATAGCCATCATTATTCTGTTGAATAAATTCTCTCAAAATGTCCAAACATTCCCAAAAGCCTTATTCACTACAAATCTCAAACCGCAAACTGAAGCCCAAAACATCTTCCAAAAAAGAAAAAAGAAAAAAAGAAAAAAAAATAAATAAACAAATCCAATCATCTATGCATACTACAGTCTGTCCTCTTCTCTCCATGTCTTCTTCCCCTTTTCACACCAATCGAACCCATTTTCTCCATGGCTATTGAAAATGCTTGGAAGAATTTTTGCTTATCCTTCGCTAACTGTTGAACCAAGGGCTTGGTTCTTGGGTCCAAAAACAAAGCTTGGTCTGACGCTAACAAGCCCAATTTAGCCTCTAAATTCCCATAATAAGCATGATCAAACAAAAATGGAGTGGCAACATCAAATGGTGCAATAATGTCTGAATTCCCACCGAACTGTGGGCAGGACATTCTAAGAGCCTTTAGTAGCCTTGTATCCATCGCAGGATCAGGCTGTTTAGTGCCACGGTAATTGTAGAGTCGGCTCACAAATTGCTTACAATGGGCAAATCCAAACGTATGAGCACCAGAAAGAACAACTAGGTCCTCAAGTGTTAGTCCTTTAGAGTTGAATAGCTTTAGTAGTTGATCAATGGTGAAATTTGCACTAGGAATGTTGTAGGGTACCCTCGCTGCCATTGATATTTTTCCATCCCACCTGCCTTTCTTCACCTGGTAATAAGGACCTCCTGCCTGGGTCATATAAAGGTAAATTATTATACGAATTTTGTCTATCATCTAAAATCACAAATCAAACCTAGAACTTTCACATGTCATTAAATTTATTCGCATAATATATTAAATAAATCACGTTTAAAATATGAATCTTTTAATAATCTATAAAAATTCTACTGGTTTGGTCTGTGGTCTGAAGTAGGGGACTACACCCGTATAATAGTTTCTTCCACATGAACATAACAGATAAATCAAGACATGCACCCTTCATTATTAGATAATGATGCTATTGGACAAAAGAATATCGTTATTGATGATGACTATGATGTTTTAATTATAATGCAGTGCTTGGATCTCATCATGTAATAACAAAAGTTAAAAGTTCTTTTATCCTGATGTGAAATCAGAATAAAATTGAAACATGATACAGATGTTCTTGTCCTCTTTGCATTGGCAGCATGAAAGAAAATGACAGGTATTTGGTATGTTTTCAATGCAATTAATAAATCATGTGATACGATTGTCCCTATTATTTTAGATGCCAAAATTAATGATTAATCTTGTCTCTCACGGTGGCCTCATTTAACCAACCCAGAAGACTGGAAATTTCGATGTTGTTTTGGTTCGGACAAATTACAGGAACAGTGGGTTCAGCTGTTCAAAGCAAACCTGTGATTAAAAAGACAAATTGGGAACATAGAAAGATGAATGTTCTCCTTTTGTGTCCTTTTGGAACAGTGTGTTAACTGTTAAGTTTGCTTGTTTTTGTCCTAGAAAATGACCAAACTACTTTTTTCTCTACCTTTCTACTTTGGAAGCATTACGTATCAAATAGATTTACACCAAAACAAAAGAAGGAAATTAAGTCATCTTTTTTATTTCTAAGCAGACTACGGTATAACGCTACTGCACCTTGCAATTGGAGCATAAAACAAGGAAACTCGAGCTTTAACATAGAGATACTTTTTGTGTGGAGAGATATAATCAAGAAGATAAAACAGAAATGACAGGACATCATGAGTATGATATTGAAGAAGAAGGAAAATGAGGCACATACAAGGTGAACATAATCTCTGGCTGCAATTGCAAGAATATCTGCACAAGAAACAACACCAGGGCACTTGCTTTCCACCGAGGCCTTGGCCTTGCTTATAGTCTGAAATCCCTCCACCCTTAAGTCCTTATTGTCCACTGCATCCTTCTCTGCTAACTCCTTACCCCCAGGCTTTGTTGATATCAATATTGATGCATCACAGCCCTTCAATATATGCAATCACACATCAAATTTAAGTAAGAGGTAATTTATCAATCAACAATAATTATATGATCTGCTAAGAAGAACAAGGGTGGCAGAGCATGCTACAAAAATGCGGCATAATAAAAATATAGAGCATGCATGGGAAGGGTAATTGAGAAGGTGGAATTGAGATTACTTCTACAAAGCAGTCATGAAAGAATAGGCGAATGGTGGCTGGTCCTGAAACTGGTGCTTCTTTGAACTGTTGGGAAGTAACTGAACCAACAAGTTGCTCCAGTTGAGGGCATGTTTTTGCATAGTAATCAACAGTTAATTGGCGTGGGAGGGGAGTTCTGATGGTTGGTTTGCCTGTACAAATTGAGGCTCGTAGAGCAAGTAAGAAAATAAGCAAGAAAGTGCTAATAGAAGAAGAAGAAAGAGCAGGCATGATTGTTGTATGTACAGGCAGCCTAGGACAAAGAAAAAAATAGTAGAAGAAATATATATATATATATACACATACAAGTCAAGGCTCAGTTGTGAAAGTTTGTTGAGGGACAGATTGCCATGTAAAAAGAAAAAATGGGAAAGAATCAACACCCGTGAAGCCCCAAAGGAAAATTATGCATAAAGCTAGAGAGAGGGAGCCAAAGAGACAGGGTCAATATGATGGAAACATGAATTGTGTGAATTGAGCCAATATAAAATAAAGAACGCCCTTTAAGGCATGCCTTCAATTTAATATCTGAGTCAAGTTTTGTCCAATTAAAAAAAATTGGAATCTAGTTTATAACACTGGAATAATTAACAACACAATACCAATCCATTCACGGGAACAAGGTATCCTTGATCTTTCTTGACAGAGACAAAATCTTTTTCATCCATAGTTGGGACAAATCACCATTAATCACTTCTAATTTTTAAACTTACTTTGCTCGACAAAAAACAACCAACTTTGTGTCTCAAGTTATGCTGAATTAATAATAGAGTAGACCTTGCGCTGCAAATCAAGTTCATGTGACCAATTTAGCCAACAAAGCAAACATCAGGCCAAATCTAGAGACCCTATTTAAGTTAACGAGTACCGTTGCCTGGTTTAGCTTTCAAATGCTAGAGATCATATATATTTAAATAGAAAGCTGAATACCACTAAGAGGGAACCCCACTTGCCAACCGAATGTAGGTTCTTAAATGCAGAGCATGTGCGAGTGCAACCCCGAGGGCCCTCGTCCTAAAACCAAAAAAAAGAACCAAGTTGGTATATTTATCAGAACAATTAGTCTTGCAGAACATAAGATAGGAAAGAAAAATACAAAAAAAACATCAGTTGCCAATTTGTTTTGCTTTTCAGGTTGTGTTCAAGTGGAGGAAGCCTTTCTGCGTTAGAGCAGTAAAAGCTGCAAGGACCCTCGACATTATTACTCTTTACTCACTCCGGTGGAAAGATACTTTACTTGGTACCCACCGACTTCTGGACCTGAACAGGAGAAGTGAAAATGTGAAAAGAGTTGCCCATGACACAATGTCAAAAAGTTACTTAATTCCCAGTGGGAGCCCACTTTGATTGTCGTGTTAATGTATCGACCTTTTGCTTGTGACACGTGTAAACAGGCCAACATATCTGTGGGCTGGAATAGCTGATCTAGGTAAGGTAAAGTAGGTACTTGTTGAAACTGATTCGTCGCTCTGAACTTGTCGTACGCTCGTGTATATTGGCGGGTTGAAGACAACCGAATCATCCAATTCAATCAAAATTAAAATATTCGATTCAGTTTCTAATTAAATTTAATTAAAAATTAAAATTAAATTAATTTTGATTATTTGATTTCTATTTTTGAAAATATATTTGAATTTTAGTAATTTAGTTTACTATATATTTAAACAATCAATAATTTCTTTCATTATATATTTTAAATGTAAATTAATAGATTTATATTTAAATTTTAATGTTTCATTATCTATATGGTTTTATGTTGTTTTTTATTTAAATAAATGTTTATTGTCGCTTATACAAATTAATTTAGACAATTTGAATTTTTTTAAAAACTCTATAGTCCCTAATACAATTTTTTTAGCCTATTTATATTATTTTAAATTAAAATAATCAGTTTTTCTCAAAAAAAAAAAAAAAAGAAAAAAGAAAAAATCAAATTGTAATGTTAAAAATTGAAACTTGAAAACTGAATGCTCACTCTTAACTCAAGGTTTTATTGCAAATGTTGTCCCTAAAGTGTTGCGATTTAACAATTTTAAGTTTAAAATATTAAATTACATAATTTAAATTATAAAATATTAAATTACATAATTTAAATTATAAAATATTAAAAATTAGATAAATAATCATTTTCATTTTTAACCGTAAACAACTGTCATTTAATCGTTTTTTCTACTTTTCTTTCTTCACTACCTATAATACATTGAGTTATTCAGTGGTTTACATAAAGGTTAGTTCCACGGGAGTCCCAGTCTGATTCCGACCACCTTCTGACATGCTTCTAACAAACTCCACTAAGTGCCGCCGGTTGTCCCCTTCAAACGACTTCTTATTAATTCTTAGACATGTAAATGCAGTCAAACTGTTGCCAGATTCTGATCTTCTTGTTGCCAAAACTTGTGCATTCTCTCCAGCAAGTTCAATTCTAGCAGCCCTTTAAGCCATCTTTACTTGCCGCACTAATCCTTCTGGAGAGCAATTTGCATGTTCTGGCTGTTCTCCATCTCGCATTTCCATGCTGGTGAAATTGAATACAAATCCATGTTTCCCGAACGGTCGTGCTATTGGTAGGTACCCATTGTGGTGTCTAGTATTCTAGTATCCCGAACATTATCTTTCAATTTCTCTTGGCTTTTGTTAAAAAAAAAAAAAAAAATTGACAGTTAATCAATAATTGATGGTTAAAAATAACGAAAATCACATAATTTAAATTATATTTATCTAATATCTAATTCTTTAAAATTCAAATGACAGTAATTTGATATTTTGGATTCAAAATTATCAAATTACAATACTTGGGGACAAACTATGTTGTAAAATCATCTTACTCATGTAAGCATTTGGTGATGTACTTAAGCAGTAAATTGAACTCCATTTTCTGCGTGGAGATTATTTTTCAGACCAAAATGCTGTCGAGCCCCAAAAATTGCAATTAATGACATATAATTTTATTAATTGCTACTATGCTTCTAAGTTCTAATACAAGTTGTGCAGGACTGTAGGCCGTACGAAGGGAACCGAAGCAGGACCTGCATTAGACGTAGAATGATGACATTATCGTTTAGAACGAAATCTAGTCAGCATCTACATAATATAATATACATCCTATGACACGAAAAGACCCATGCCTTGAGGCTTGAGCATTAGCTATACCATTTTATTTAGAAAGTCTTTTAGCTGCTTGTTTCTTCTTCTTTTTAAATTTAGCAGGACTGGTCGAGTAAATTATAAATTATTATTTTATTTTTAAGAAACGAATTAATTAGTTATTTTTATTTCAAACACTAATTATTTAATTTTTTTACTATTGTTGATATTAATTTCTTATTATTTTATTTCTAAAAGGATTACCTTTTCTGTCAATTCTGCCATGTTTTTTTTTAATTTAAAATAAATTAAAAAAAACAAAACAAAACAAAAACAAAAAACTGACGTTCACCATATAATTTAAATTGTAAATTATGAATTATTATTTTGATTTTTGAGAAACAAATTAATTAGTTATTTTTATTTCAAACACTATTTATTTATTTATTTTTAACTGTTGTTGATAGTAATTTAATATTATTTTATTTTTAAAAGTATTATCTTTTCTGTCAATTCTGCCATTTTTTTAAATTAAAAATAAATTTAAAAAAAAAAAAACAAAAACAAAAAACTGACGTTCACCATGTAATTAACTAATTCAGTTGATTTCCTTAGGTTTGGTTCTTTGGTGTGTCAAATTTTCTAAAACACCTCTTCACAAATCTGTAAAGTGGCTGAATTTTTATTTTTGTTTCTGAAATACCAAGAATTTTGTCGCTGGATCTACCACAGCAACTGGGTTTTGAGAGCACAATTTTACTGATGGGTTCTTTGAATAAAAGAATTGGGTGCAGGTGTTGGGCTTAATTTACAGTACCTATTTTGGGAAATTCATTGTTTTCGCTTGGATTGCGCGTTTTCATCAATTTACTTGGTATACAACATACGAGCAAAAACTGAGTTCTGTGTGGTTCATCGACGGCTGGGTAGAGGTGATTTTTGGTTATGAGAGAGAGGAAATAGATGGGAAGAAATTGAAAATTCATTCACTTTGATTCAGCCAGTGATGGAAAATTGTTGCCTCCGAAGTTTTTTCCTTTTGAGACTGCATTATGAATCAAAGAGCCCGTTAATAATGGAAAGCCAAAATTCCTTACTGAACATATCGATATACAGGAAAATGGAAGGAAGTTTTATATCTGCCTTCCTGAAACTGTCCTCCCAATTTTCAATCTATTCGTAAATTCTAAAAGGCTTTTATTATGTCCATATAACTTGAGTTGGTTTTTAATATATCTTTTCAGTTAATTTTTATGGTTAAATTATTCAAAAATATCATACGACTTGCACAAGACATTTTCTTTAACAAAAATATCACTTACAGTTTAACATGTCAAATTCCCAATATATCCTTACATAATTGGTTGAGTTTTTAATTTATTTTTAATGCTAAAAAGTCCATTATATTATTATTACAATGTGTTGCACTATATCAATTTTTTTCTTAATTAAAACTATTAAAAAATAATTAGTATAACTTAAAATGAAGCTGTTCAAGAAACTAAAAAACAAATAACTACATTTAAGCAGTTGTTAATTGATTTTTTTCTTAATTAAAAATATTAAAAAATAATTAGTACAAGTTAATATGTAACCGTTCAAGAAACTAAAAAACAAATAACTATATTTAAGTAATTGTTAATTAGTCTCTTAAGTATGTAATTGAAAAACAAATAATTAGATTTAAGTATTTGTTAATTAGTCTCTTAAGCATGTAATTAAAAACAAAAAATTACATGTTTTCTTTAACTACATAATTATTTATTTTTTGCGGGAGATTCACATTTTTTTTAAGATATGATTTAATATATTGGTAAATGTTATACCAATTTGTTCAATATTATACATACGTGAATTATTATAATGACAATAATATAATTAACTCTTTAGCATTAAAAATATGTTAAATGATAATTTCTTGAACGAGTTATATAATAACTTGCTCCAATATTTTTATATATTTTTAATTAAAAAAATATTGCAACACATTATTAGAAAAATTAATAACAATAATATAATTGTCTCTTTAACATTTTAAGTGCTAGGGATATTTTTGTCAAAGTCATGTACGGGTCATGTGATATTTTTAGATGATTTGTTTAGAAAAATTGATCACAAGGACATATTGGAAATCGAGCTTAAATAAC